TGCAGACTTTTATTAAGTATAAAGATACAGATTGTGTCATTTTGATAGGTTTTCTCAGGATTGGTCCAAAGGCATCAAAGTAGATGCCAAATACGTTTTCGCTTTGAAGGGACAACTGCTTGCACTTTATATACACTAGATGAGAGCTTAATGGCCACGGAGCAGATAATATTGCAGTTTAGCATACCAGAAGAGGTAACTACTTTTTTGAAAAGCTTACCTGTACTGATTCAGTAAAGTCGATCGACTATTTGTAATTATGTGAATGCCTTACGTGGATCAATTGCCTTCCACTGACAACTAAATACCTTTTTAATGCCAAATGCGTTATAGACAGAGTTATTATTAATGCTCATTTTCTGTGATAGCGATTTATGTGAGATCGACCTATTAACAATCAGTGTATGCAAGTGTGAATCGTTCAGTTCTTCTTTGTATATACGATAGATTATCTTCAGGAAAGTAAAAAAAGTAATCATGCGACTGAGAATAAAACTGGCTTCAGATTTTGGCTAAGAATTGTCTGGAGGGCTTAAGTTCCTGACCAAAAGTACCTGACGACATCAGAGAAAATGAACCGAAACAGACTCCTATTAATAAAACGAGTTTTCCGTTTGCAATTTCAGATCCTGAGGAACCCCATAATCTCTGCCGGGATCAGTCGTTATCTTTCCAGGAAAGATCGCATAAACTGTCAGACCTTAATACCAACATGGGATCTATTTGCCACCCGATTGTTGCATTATCTCCATGCTCCTGGAGAAAAATGCCACAGTTGATAGCTCTACTCCGAAGTACGTCAGAGGGAGACGAGATCTTTTCTCGAAACTTTGCTTCAGAACAGGGAAAAGACATAACTCAAGGTCTTCTCCTACTTGCCGGCCCCGACCGGACTGGACTCGTCAATCTCACTACATTGGACATCAGCATCGAAAAAATGAGTGAACTGACTTCTAATTGTTCAATGCCTAGAAAACGCATTCTTCGCTTATCTGTTGTTGTAAAGAATGCCAGACCGCTGGTCACGGAGAGCCTAAAATCTAAATTAAAAGTGGAAGAAGTTGCCATCCGAATTTTTGTATCGTTATCACCAAATGAAGTTCTACTGTTGTTGCAGAGCTTTGACAACGTACGCAACATGTCCTTAGACGACTCATTTCACCGTCGATGCAGGTTGCCCACCCCGCGCATAACGCACGAACTTCATTCTACCTGGATTCCAGCATGGACTTACATTCAGATTCACTATGCATCTGAAGTGCTTGATTTGATCCTGCGCGAAAGGACATCTGCCACGCAACTCCCAGTGTTGACCTTACTGACAGATCCAGGTCAATTTTTGCCAAAGCGGTACCTTACCAGCTCTTCCAATTTACCCAGAATTTTGAAATTTCGTGTGCTTAAGAAACCACGATTGCGCATGTCGCAATGTTGCAGAGTCTGCGTTAATGCTGAGGAGAGATGCTACATGCCTCGATTGCATTGTCAGCCTAATGACATTACACAGGACGGGGAAGGGGCAGTGAACTTTGTTGCCTGTTCTCGGATGTCTGTCGAAGATAACTGCGTCCTTCATCCACTCAACGTGCATGATCCGTACGTTCACATAAACCCTTCCTGTAAGATCCCATCTCTCACTCTCACGAATGCACTCTCTTCCTCTACAATTCCAATGCCTAGAGGTAGAACTCAACCACCAAGAAGAAGTGCAGTTGAAGATCTAATTCAGCGACACTGTTCAGAAATCCGCAGACTTTCAATTCGCGTGTGCAAATCTAAAAATTATGATATTAAAAGAAAATATGCTCAAGATCTTCCGTCTCTTGCCCAAGATTGCATCCTTCCAATAATGGAAATGTGTGGTTCAAGTAAAAGTTCTTTAGAAGTGTCCGCTGAGATTATTTGGGCCTG